ATATATATATATATATATATATATATATATATATATATATATATATATATATATATATATATATATATATATATGAATGTGTATAAATAGTGTATATGCAGTATATCACTATAAATATACCCTTCATACAAATGTGCGTACATAATTATACACATTATATGTAATATTCTCAATACTCACGGTAGCCACTGTAATCGTTCACGTCCAATTTTATATAACACGTGTATAATGAATGTTTCATCACAGTGATTATATACATATTATATAATTATTATACACTAATTAAACTATATATAAATAAAGGAGTATTGATAGTAATGAAGGACAGCTAACTTATCCAATTTTTTTTTCTCCGGCGATATCCATTTTATTTTCTCAATCTCTCATTTTCTCCTGAAATTCATCCAAAAAAGTGTCATGCAATACCATATGTAAAAGTGGACATAAGGCGAATAAGGTGACAACCACAGTTAGAATTAGGCCGGAAATTACTCAAAGAAGATAGTGTTTTCCCATATAAGTGAAGGAGGAGGAAATTGTAAAGCCAAAAAGAGAAAATAAAGAAAGGTTTGGTGTTATTATAGTGGAAGAGAAAAAAAAAAAACAAAAAAAAGGGGGAGGAGTGAAAATGAGAGAAGATAAAAGCAAGAGGAAAAAGATGGAAGTCACTCGCAGGTTGAAGAAGGGAGAACATAAGGATAGAGATAGAGGAGAAGTAGGCAGCTGAAAGAGATGAGAAAAAATGAAATTTTAGGCTATAAGTTGATATAAAATTGCTAATAAAATCTAAAAGGGATAGCTTGTGTAAAGTAGTGCTATTATTTTGATCCAGTGGCTATAGAGTGATGATTTCTCAAGAAAAAATCTGGAACTGGGCCTCCACATTTTCGTGTATTTGTTGCTTGGGCCTAAAAAGGTCCACTAACGGCTAAAGAGAAATAGCACAAAAAGAAACAAAAAAGAAGTCAAAGAAAAGCTTTAAAAAAAAAAAATGTGATACCGTCGTTAACTACCGTCTTGGGAAACGTGATGGAATTAGGAAAATAGAATATATTATCCACTCCACGTCCATTATTTGTACATCCCAAGACAAATTACTGTAATCGCTTGCGTTACGTCACTGCCTTTGAATTGCTCTTTTTTTTTATTCTCTCTTTCTTAAAATTAATTAATTTTCCAGTAAGGTCCACTTCAATAAAAATTGAGTGACCTTATCTGCCAGCCCAATACTGAGATCCTTCGCCTGGTAGTGTGCCCAATTCTCCTCCTAACGAAAAAAGGTAAATTTTTGGGAAATTTTTATAAAGCACTATTTTTTAGTAGTAATTGACCTTCTATAGATACCATTTACTATATTACGGATTATAGATACATTTTATGTGGTTATAAGATTTATTCGATATATTTAAGCTATTGTATTCATGAATACAGTAGCAAAAAAAGGCGTGAATCAGGGAAGTCCAGCTAATCAGTTGTTGTATTCGAGTGTATTCGACTGTATTCATGGAGTGAAACATGGGATTACAGCTGGACATATTATTGTATTCGACTGTATTCATGGCGTGAAATAAGGAATTACATTGTTTTTAAAACGGAAAGTGAATCAATTAACATAATAGACTCCTAATATAACTCAACAAACTCAATTATAACACACAAAATTTGTATTTTCAGTTATAAAAAAGATTCTCAACCAAAAAATATCCCAAAAACATAGGAATCTTCAGAGAAATTATATAATACATCTGAATACATAAATTATATTAATTAAAAAAACTTATGAATACATTCATGGCATATAGCGAGATAGTAAATACGATGAAATACATAAAATACAGCGGGATACATTGAAATACAATGGAAAAAAAAACAAAGAATACAAAAAAAATACATGAATACAGCGAGATATATTGAATTACAATGAAAAAAAAAGACAATGAATTCTATAGGCCCATACTTGCTGCTGTCCCAAACCTAGGATGGTTACGAGGAACAAAAAAAATTCTTACTTCGATTTAGCAAGGACAATAAAACGGCGCAACAAAGGAAGGATCGAATGATCCCTTTCAATTTGCTCCATGAAAATCACTTATTAGGGAATATTTGAAAAAAAAAAATACTTTGGTTGGCTAGAAGACTAACAATAAGAGGGGGAAAAAAGGAATCTAAGAGGAAGTTTGGTTTCAACAATTCGGCTATTATGTATCAAAAGGTATTGATATTTTGAGGAAAACCAAAGAAATTGAGTTAAGGGAGGGGAAAGTGGGAACGAATAGAAAGAAAATCGGTGGAAGGAGGAGAAGATCGGAAATTTTAATGGGATGGGGAAAGAGAATGAGATGTATTAAAGTAGAGAGAAAAAAAAAATAGTGTAATTGATTAGCGTATTTAGTGGTTAAGGCTAGGAGGTAATCAAAATTGAATATTTTGCTATAAACCTTAAAAGGTATCTATAGAATATAATTTTTTTAAATGGTATATATTTATTTAAAATAAATAAGGTGTTAACCTTTGTTATAGGAGGTAAAAATTCCAATTTTTTTTTTACCTCCTATAGCAAAGGTTATCATCTTATTTATTTTAAATAAATATCATTTAAAAATATTATATTCTAAGATACCTTTTAATATTTATAGCAAAATATCTAATTTTGGTTACCTCCTACCCTTAAGCCACTAAATACGCTATTCAATTACACTATTTTCTTTCTCTTTCTAATTTGATACATGCCATTCTCTTCCCCCATTCCTTGAAAACACGATGCTCAATCTCAAAATTTCTCTCACCCACATCACCTACCATTAGTCACAAGCGGTGATTTTGCCTGGTATACCACGAAGCCTTCTCTGACTTTCTCTTTGTCTTAATTGTGGCAACAGCAGCATTCACATCCTTAGGCACAACATTACCTTTGTACATCAAACAACACGCCATGTACTTCCCATGACGTGGGTCGCACTTGACCATCATAGACGACGGCTCAAAAGCAGTGTTAGTAATTTCTGAAATCGAAATTGAATCCAAAGGAGATGAAGCCTCCGATCGACGCCAGCGTGGGAACAGTGAGATTCAGCGTTTTTGCTCGACGCCGGATTCGCCGAAAATTAGGGTTTGTTCTTGAACAAAGACGACGGAATTTGGGGCTGAGCAACTTGATTTTCTGTTAATATATTTCAATATTTTTTCAACGTATCACGCTGTATTTTCATGTATTTCATAGTATTCATTGTCTTTTTTTTTAATTGTAATTCAATGTATCTCGATGTATTCTATGTATTTCATTGTATTCAATATCTTTTTTTCCATTGTATTTCAATGTTTCTCGCTGTATTCTATGTATTTCATTATATTCACTGTCTTGCTATATGTCCTGAATGTATTCATATATTTTTTTACTTAATGTAATTTATGTATTCAGATGTATTATATAATTTCTCTGGAGATTGCTATTTGGGGTATTTTTCGGTTGAGAATCTTTTTTATAACTGGAAATACAAATTTTGTGTGTTATAATTGAGTTTGTTGAGTTATATTAGGAGTCTATTATGTTAATTGATTCACTTTCCGTTTAAAAACAGTGTAATCCCCTGTTTCACGCCGTAAATACAGTCGAATACAATAATCTGTCCAGCTGTAATCCCATGTTTCACGCCATGAATACAGTCAAATACACTCGAATACAACAACTGATTAGCTGGACTACCCTGATTCACGCCTATTTTTGCCACTGTATTCATGAATACAGTAGCTTAAATACATCTAATACATCTTATAACAACAGAAAACGTATCTACAATTCGTAATATAGCAAAATGTATCTGTAGATAGCTAATTACCACTAAAAGATAGTGCTTTATGAAAATTTCTCCTAATGGTAATATTTCACAGGTATTAAAAAAAAGGAGAGATTGACAAACTGTTGTACAAGTTAAATTATACTCCATATAACATAAAATAATTTTATATTATCGTTGAACATAAATTAAAAACTCATTAAGAAATACTTTTCCGTGAAAAAGAACCCAATAATACTAGTGCTACCTAGATGAAGGAAATTGGTGGAAAATCGAAAAATCTTGCCTGACACGTAGCAAAACAAAAAGCCAGATCGGACCATTTTTCCAGTAAAGTAATTAACCTTTCCCCACTTGACTTTCCAATTTATGAAACCAAAGATCAATATATTTCACACATATATATATACAGCAAACACAAGATCAATACCTTTCTAATCTTCATCAAACATAACACAGAAAATTTTCGAGAAAAAAGAGAGCATACAAATGGAGAAGGGGAATTCTTCAGCTGTTGCGCGAGGGCGGTTAGCTGTGCTTTCAGCTCACCTCGCCGCTTCAGTCAATCTCTCCGATTCCAAACTTTTAGAAACTTCCGTTGTATCCGCCACTTCCGTCGTTGCGCCGCCGCCGAATCTAAAAGGCGCGTTGACGATCATCGATGAGCGAACCGGTAAGAGGTACCCGGTTCAAGTTTCCGAGGAAGGCACTATCAAAGCCACCGACTTGAAAAAGGTATTCATCAAATCAAATTCCGAATTTTCTTTTGAATTTTGATCTCTTTACTTTCTATAATTTTGTAACTACTTTTTTTTAGCTGAGCTATCATAGACCGCATTAGCTGTGCTTTGGTATCAATAGGAAGCCAAATTATATTAAGAGGCTTTTAAAACTTGTTTCATAAAATATTTACAATAATGAGGCAAGAAAGGACTTGCTTTGTGATCTGTGAATCAATCAGGCATGACAAAAGAAATAGCTAATGCAGAGAAATCGAGTTGAAATTAGAAAGTGAAATTGTCAGAAACATGAAAAAGAAATGAATGTACATAGATGAGTTATTGATGTTGATAAAGGATGGATGACAGTGGCTAAATCAGGTCCAGTTTAGATTGTCAATTAAGATAAAAGTTCAATAGAACTGCCTTGAGAATTGGACCTTGCCTTCTTTTGCTGATTTGAACCAAGACTTTCTGAAAGTAACAATTCTACCGAGTTTACTTTTAGTAGAGTACTAGAGTTGCTTGTTCTTCTTGGCCAAATCTATAATGTTTAAACATATGGTGCAAAGTCTAATATATATATACACACACATTATATATGTATGCAGATGTAAAGTCTAACATATCTTCGTGTCCTTAATTTTTTTTATAAAGCTTTATTTGTATATATGTAATATTTAAAATATACACACAGATATATACGCACAAGTGCATTTACGTGTGTGTGTGTGTGTGTGCAAATGTGTATATATATAATTTTTTTTTGACAAAGTTTGAGCCTGAAGTAGTGACTCACTGTGAATATGCCTCTGGCTATATGCATCTGTACTACCGGTGGAACATGTAGATGTTTCTCGATTCAGGGACGCTGTAAACCCTGCATGTTCTGTTTTCCTTAATTTCCAGCAAAGTCCAAGATTAGATTATGGAGCTATTTGTCCTAGTATTTTTAAGATTGGGCCAATTGAGCTCAACAGATATATCTTAGTGGTTGTTTCATGATCTATTCTGTCTCATTGGAGCTCTAAATTCCAATAAATTACCCATGTTATCATTTTTGTTTCTTGCCACTTTCAGCCATGTTTTTTCCTGAAATTGTTTCCTAACTCCAGATATAATTGTCGTGCAGATAACAGCAGGACAAAATGATAAGGGTCTCAAGCTTTATGATCCGGGCTATCTCAACACAGCACCTGTTCGGTCATCAATATGTTATATAGATGGTGATGCTGGTATCCTTAGATATCGAGGTTACCCAATTGAAGAGTTGGCTGAGGGAAGTTCCTTCTTGGAAGTGGCTTATCTTTTGAGTAAGTGCTTCTCATGAAAATCTCTATTCATTTAAATGTCTAATTACAGGTTCCTATGCTATTGCTGGCCCAGATTCATCTTTGCTGCCTTTGTAAATTTTGGTCATTGCCATTGGGGGTGTCTGATGTCTAGAGTGATTTCTGAATGGATTTTGCAATCTCTTGAAACTTTTCGTAAATGTAGCTTTTTGATTATCAAATAATTGAGCAAGGTTTAAAAAGAATTGTAATAGTGGTGACGGGTTTTTTGAGATTTAATGACAAATGGGAAAAAGTATGAATATTTGGTCAAGAGTATGGCATTTGAATAGAAATAAGATCAGATCCGCACATCATGAGTCATTGGATAGACTTAAAGAATCAGCTTGAGGTAGATGACTTTGACAATTTCAAACTTTCTGGGAGCTTTTTGAAGGAATAGAAAAGCAAATGTATAGGTATGGAACTCCGTAGGAGATAACTTTCGAATCAAGCTGTAATGCTATAGAACTTTGGAGTTATAAACTGAGATAATACTAGGCAGTTTCGATACACCTCCTTACTCTGGGGGAGGTTGTCCACTGGTTGTCTGGTTTGGGCCCACCAAGGGTTCACTGTGGATGCATACTTGTTCTGCTTGATCAAGCTGAAACATTACACAGCATGTTTTGCATATTTTACTTAATTATATTCTTCATGTGACAACCTGAGTAAACACTAAAGTACTCATACTCTATCACTAGTCCCTGTCTTCGTCTCTTCTTTCTATGGCTGATAACTCACATTAGTCTAACTTACCAAAAAAAAAGAGAGAGAGAGAGATACATCAATCCCTGCATTATCTTTTTCTGCATACTTCCACGCTTATCACATGCTTTCCAAACTTCAGCAACTTATTCGGTTATTCCCATTACTAAGCCTTTTTGCTTTCATTCACAATTAACTTCTTTTAGCTATACATGCAGAGCAAAACTAATGTTGCTCGAACTCATCCCCCCACCCCCCCCACCCCCACAACACACACACACACAAAACCCAACCCACAAACAAAATAGCAGATCCATACGTCTGACTTATCTGTTTGATTTATCTTTTCGTTTGTGTTTATTGAAATTTGCAGTGTATGGTAATTTACCATCTGAGAACCAGTTGGCAGATTGGGAGTTCACAGTTTCACAACATTCAGCAGTTCCACAAGGAATCTTGGTGCGCTCATATTTTAGTTTTCTAAGAAAGCTTGAGTTATAATGGATTCAGATTTTTGTCACTCGCAAATGCTCCCCATGACTTGAAGACAGGAACATCCTTGGATTTTACTTAAATAATGAACTTATAGTGCTTCTGCACTTATTAGCTTTTGTCTGCAATATTTTCCCCCTCTCATAAACATCATAGTCTTGGAGTATGAAACTTGTGAAGCCCCATAGGCATTTCACCTACTGTACATGTTTGGTCAGTCACTACATCTTCCAAAAGGGTCACTGAAAACTTATGACAAGAGGGAAAGCCTTTTGTCCGGTAGGTGTAACTACTGCAATCTTTGCCAAGATGGAAGAGACACTGATACTATGTGAAATAGAAAGAAAGAAAAAAATCGTATTGAATTGGTTGTAAAGAACATACAAGAAAGCTCCTTAAATAGGAGTTTCAGCTACTAGATTAAGAACACCCATACTATTAAACTAAGCATATCCCTCAAAATAATTGCATTAAATTCTCTTAGTTCTTAACACCCTTCACTAGTAGAAGAAGAATGTAAGTGCAAGGGGAGGAAGAAGTACTTATATTAGATTTTCACATCATCAGTATTTATGTGATTATGATTTATGCTTCTTTGTATATATTGATGTCAGTTGTTTAAATTGGTCATTAACGGTCATACCCTATGTCCTTTAAACATTTCTGCAAAATCCTTTTTTTTTGAAGTTTATGCTGTTGATTGTTGGGTTCCTGATTTTTGTTGGAGTCCAAAAAAATCTGAACCAATTGCAATTTTGTGATGCAGGATATTATACATTCGATGCCCCATGATGCTCATCCAATGGGTGTTCTTGTCAGCGCAATGAGTGCTCTTTCTGTCTTTCATCCTGATGCCAATCCAGCTCTGAGAGTAAGCAACATTTTTAAATATTCCACCTTGTGTAGCCTCTTCCCCCTGTTTGCTATGATGCAACAGACATGTAAGTGTTTGACCAATATATAATCTGTAGCCAAAGCTTCTCTGATTTACCTAAATTCATTGCTTCAGATGTTCTCTGATCGCATTTTGGTTCCCTGAGATGAACTTAGCTTCTTAGTTCCAATTAAGGGACACTGCTTCATCATGATTGTCTTACCACCAAGAGATTACTAGCTTCTCGATATTTAGAGAGTTCAGTGTAGGTTTCTGATGAGAATGCTTGTCAAATTTTTTGTCTAGGTGTCTCTCTAAGAGTTGACAGTAACGATTGACGCGAATAATAATTTGAAAGTTAGCTTCTTATTATCCTAGTGAGAGTTGAATAAAGGAGTTCATAATGAAATGTTATAACTGCCACCTTGAAATGTTTCAGAACTTAAAGCGAAATTTGTTTTCATATTTTGTGAAGAAGCATGTTTTATCTTTTATCCGTTTGTTCTTTAACAGCTATTTGTCTAAACCCTCTCTTCTGCTCAAATTTCATGCTGTAGTTTAAATTGCTCTCTTTTGTCCCCACCTGAAGTTTCTTTGTAGTTGGCAAGAGGGTATCTGTTAGAGCTACTAGTGTTGCCCACTATTGTGCCGGTTAGAATCTGAAAAACATCCCAACTCTTTTTTTCTTCTTTCTTTCAGCAAATGGAAAAGAAACCATTTCTATTCTCATAGCTCGAGTTGGATAACTCAAATAGTTTAAAGGAAAATCTTAAGGATCTGTGTATATGGTTCGGAAAAAGTGTGTCTTACACAAAGCTGAACAATTAAATATTTCCTCCGGTTTGGATGATCATTTAGCTTCCTTTATAAGCTAACAAGACAACATGACTTATTTCTTGGGGTACAATGTAAATTGCTTCTCTTGGTCTGCTTAGTGGTCCATCTCAACGGAAAAAGAAATACTATTAAAGACCCTTCTTAAGCCCGAATTTTGGTCATTAAGAAGCAAGATTCTCAACTAAGGGTTGAGAGATCACAAATTGATTTACGTTCTGAATTTTTGGATTCCCAAAAGTTTTAACTAGTTGGGAGCTTGCTCCTTATCTTCTGTACTTTTGCTAGTACCCTCTTGGTACTACTTTATTAATAAAATTTTACTACCTTATCAAAATAAAAATGATACCTTCTGAATTTTGACCCATTTTAATGATATCTGGACAGCAAGCATTTGAATTGCAACATTTTATTTCGTGATTCTGATAATTTGTCTTTGTTCATGCAGGGACAGGATATATACAAGTCTAAACAAGTGAGAGATAAACAAATAGTCCGGATCCTTGGCAAGGTTATTTTCCTTTCCTTCATCTATTTTTTCTTTGATTGTCTGAACTTCTGATATTTTGAACTATGATATCGCATTAAAGTTTGATGTATGTGCTTTCTTATCTTCATCAACTGAGTGCAAAGTACTAAGTAGTAATAAGTATTCTATTCATTGTATTTGCAGGCACCTACAATTGCTGCGGCTGCTTACTTAAGAATGGCTGGAAGGCCGCCTGTCCTTCCATCCAACAATCTCTCTTATGCAGAGAACTTCTTGTACATGCTAGATTCATTGTAAGTTCTATTGTTCCACTTTGCTTTCTTTGGTTTATGTCCGGAATTCTAAATGATGCCTAAATTGGATAGAAGTAATTATCCTGGTTCTTATTAGCCAGAGAATGATTGAAATATAGTGGTAATCGTAAAAATCAACGTGTCTGTGGACTTCTCCTTGTTGCATTTGCCATCACATCACTTTCAATTCTTCAGCCAATAAATTAAATGAATCTTTTTGCTTACCTTACTTACAGAGGTAATAGGTCTTACAAACCCAATCCTCGACTCGCTCGGGTGCTCGACATTCTTTTCATATTACACGCGGAACATGAAATGAATTGCTCTACTGCTGCAGCACGTCATCTTGCTTCAAGGTAGGCATCTTTTTGCACAGACAATAGCACTAAGATACACGACTTATATAGAAATAATTGTGCATTTGGGGTTGATGTATAAATAAGATACACGACTTATATACAAATGATTGTGCAGTGGGGTTGATGTATACACAGCTATAGCTGGAGCTGTGGGAGCTTTGTATGGTCCACTCCATGGGGGTGCAAATGAGGTAAAATATTTCTACAGCAAGTAATGTGCATGTATAGGGGAGCTTCAAATTTTATGAGTTCTCTGTATCTTTGTGTCTCTCACATGACATTGCACTGGGTTGTATTATGCTTGATTGTGATGTTATTACATGGTTACAGGCTGTGCTGAAGATGCTCAGTGAGATTGGAAGCGTTGAAAATATTCCAGAGTTCATTGAGGGTGTGAAGAACAGGCAAGGATTTTTGATAGTCATTGTTGTAACATCAGAAGATTTGTCTTGTTCATTTTTAACCATATGAATTTCCTTATACTTCCGTCCCTTTAGGAAGCGCAAAATGTCTGGTTTTGGGCACCGTGTCTACAAAAATTATGATCCCAGAGCAAAAGTCATTAAGAAGCTCGCCGATGAAGTATTTTCAATTGTTGGTCGGGATCCTTTGATTGAGGTAAGGTTTTCACTTCTTCTAAAAAGGATTATAACTTTTCTTGGTCTAGCTGGTGTTTCCAAGAGGTCCATTCCATCATTTAATTCATTTTTGCTAGCATTTTAGAAGTAACAGGATATTTTGTATCCATGTTTAAGCAGTCCTCGTGGACTTCAGATTTTCTCGAATTACAGAAGAAGAGCTTAAAGCAGTAAAGTTGGTGCAGATATAATTACATAAAAGGTTATTCCCACTAAAACATTTCATGTATGGCTAGAAAGAAATAAGTGTAAAGCCAACTTCTCCCAGTTTGTTGCATCTATACTAAAAGAAGTATAGGCAGTGCATGCTCAGGTGGTTTTGGCTTGGTCTTGTGCTGGGTATTACCCTTAGATGTTTTAAATTCACTTTCATAAAAAGCTGATAAAGTGAATTTGAGTTATTTTAGTTATATCACAACTACCAGGGGCGAAGCCACACTATGGTTAGGGTGGTCAATTGACCACCCTTTATCGCAAAATTACACTGCGTATATAGGTAAAATATTACGTTTTAGAGGTACATAACATATATTGAACACCCTTTGTCGGAATTGTTTTTTTACTTATTTCAAGTATGAACACCCTTGAGGAAAATCCTGGCTTCGTCACTGACAACTACAACAGTACAACAGTAATAAACCACTAATGTTCTTCTCTGGTTACCTTCAAACAAGTCCAGTAAAATCCATTCTCATTTGTTCCTTGGTTATTCCGAAAGAAGCACCATTTTCTCTTTCTTGTTCAGAAGGCCATTCAAGCTTCCTTTTCCACTATTTATATTTCCATAGGCAGTCTTTGTTCTTTCTTCCGGCAATTCCAAATTAACAAAAATCTGATCTTTCGAGGTAGCTAAATTTCTATCTTTTGCCACACTTATTCTACCTCAGATTCGAAGAAGTTATTTCCCTTTGGTTCTTCATTGTAGAATCAACTAAGGGGATTTCTTTTATCTTTGTAATGCCGGATATTCGACTACATCTTTATCCTACAATGACATCGAGTGTGCCTGTTAGCTCTCTTACTATGTGGAAGAGATGATAGAATCTTGTTTTTCTGAAATATGTAAATTATATATCAAATTGAGAAAAAATGTCTTTCCAGGAGATGAGATTGGCTACGAGTTAAATATTATGGTGGGTAACACACAGTCAGATCATTTGATGCCACCACCCAGATATCCTGTATCTCTCTGGCTGGCTGGTTAAATATGTACATCTATTAAATCCTTGCATGCATGAAAGGATGTAATATGGCCTGCTTTCTTTCAATGACCCAACATTTTATATGGTTCCCAAAATTTCTCATATTATTTCAGGTTGCTATTGCTCTGGAGAAAGCTGCACTCTCAGACGAGTACTTTGTAAAAAGGAAGCTGTATCCAAACGTTGATTTCTACTCTGGTTTAATTTACAGGTAAGAACAAAGTAAGATGAATCTTTTTGGTATTCGTTATTAATGATATTTCTCTAATGATAATACTTTGTCATGTATTAGGGCAATGGGATTCCCGACGGAATTCTTTCCAGTCTTGTTTGCAGTGCCTAGGATGGCTGGTTACTTGTCTCATTGGCGAGAGTCTCTGGATGATCCTGATACCAAGATAATGAGACCTGCACAGGTAAAATCACTTAGTCTGGCTTTTCAATCTTGGTAAAATCAGATTCTGTACAAAGAAGACTTTATTATTACTAGCAATTACTAAATTTTATGTTAGCCGCTTAGTACTTACTTGTGCCAAGTCAAAACCTCGGCTCTTTGGATTTTTCCTCCGTCTCTTGATTGCCTAAAGGTGCTCGTTTAGAACCTAATGACATTTAGGTGGAAGGTCTGATTAGGAACTAAATTAGTTTTGGCTACTTTGCTGGACTGCTTATAATTGATTTGTTTGTAGTTCTCTTCTTCTGACTTCTTATCCCCTAGGGAAGTCTGTAATCCTATAAATTTTTCCCCTCATCGAACTTTGCCGGGTTTATTCATTTGAGATTTGTTTCTCTTTCAGGTGTATACTGGTGTATGGATGCGTCACTATATGCCTCTAAAAGAGCGATCACCATATACGGAAACAGAAAAGCTTAGTCAAGTGTCTGTCTCCAATGCCACCAAGCGACGTTTGGCTGGTTCAGGGGCCTAGGCTTCTTCATGTTTCAGTTATGTTTAAGAAAAATAAATGGTAAAAGTTTTCTGCACGAGGAGGCACTTGTCTTGATAGATTCTGACAAACAAAGCAGATATATATTCGGATGTTTCCGTTTTAAAATAGCTTAATAAAGCTTCTTCACAAGGATACTATTTAACACAATTTTATATGTAGTCTTCTTTTAGTACCCCTTAAATATATAGATGACAAGCAAACAGCAAAGATATACAAAGCCTTTTGGCCGCCAAAAATAAAATGCAATAACCTAAACCTAAAAGAACATGACCGAGTCCGTTATTGTTGCTGCAAAACCGTGTCCAACTCAAAGACGCCTTTAAACCATGCTTCTTATATGTTTCACGAATTCCTTCTTTGCTCTCATTTTCACATAACAGTATGGTCATCTGTCACAACCAAGTACACATTATGGTCATTGTCGCATGCATTCCGCACGAGCTCATTGTTGAAATTCTGAAAAGGGTTCGTGCCAAGTCTCTACTGCGTTTTAGGTGCGTTTCAAAATCCTTTTGCTCCCTTATATCAGACCCCTTATTCATTGAAGCACATCAAAAAAGTTGCGTAGCTCAATCCCTCGTAAATTGCCTGGCTTGGACTCCTAAAGATGTTATCTATAATTTAGGCCAAAGAGAAGAACATCAAGACTTATGCTTATCCTATTCAGTACTTGGATCAGCCATGTTTCCGTGAATTTAACTATATGCAATCTATCGATGGCCTAGTTTGTCTATGGAACAATTTTGGAGAAGTTGCTATTTGCAATCCTTTCACAAAAGAACATGTCTTTCTTCCTCGTCAACAACCTAAAGAGAAAGGTTACATGATTTGTTGCTCCCTTTGTGTTGATCCCACCACTAAGAACCATAAAGTATTCAAGGCACACCTTAGGAATAATGAAAGGAGATACTGGATTTTTACCATTGGAGTGGACAAGTTATGGAGAGAGATCTCCGGTTGCTCCAATTTTCTCCCTTCAAATGGCAACTGTGTTTATATTGACGGGGTCATTTATTGGGTAAATATAATTCGATGTAACATAGCTACATTCAGTGTTGGAGATGAAAAGTTCATTAGAATGATTCCATTCCCCGATAGAGAATGGACATTGAGGTTCTCTGAATATACACCAAGGATAGCAGAAATAAAGGGACAAGTTGCACTATTAGGTCCTGTATATTTCAAAAAAAGCACAATTGCTTTAAATGTTCTCAATGGTAGTGGTGAAACTCACGAATGGGTGAAGCAAATAATTGAGCTACCATCAGAATTAACAAAGACATGTGGTAGTTATCTTTGCTCTTTGTTTACCATCAACCCTAAGGGAGAGATTCTATCAATTCCAGACAAGAATAGTTCGCCCCTCTTTTTATATGACATTGGAAGAAAAAAATGGAAACTAGTTGAGATGCATGGAAGTTATGAACGCAAATTCCTTGTGGAGATTCAGATTAGTGTATTGCTAAATATTGTGGAGAGTATTTGGCCCTTGAGGTCTTCCGGAAACAGCCTCTCTACCCTTTTCGGGATATGGGTAAGGTCTGCGTACAATCTACTCTGCCCAGACCCCTAATGAGATTTTACTGGGTATGTTGTTGTTATTGTTGTATTTGGCCCTTGAGATTGTCTGAAATGATAAACTTTAATGCTAAAGGTCGAGGTTCATATGTCCCTTAAGTTATTTTAAGTGCATGCTTTTGTGTTTTCAAGCCTCAAGGTGACCAAATTCACAGCATGTAGGTGAAACCATTTAGTCGTATTGAATGTAGAGTTATCCTTTAGCACATATAAAGCCCTCCTTGTACAATGTTATCCGTGTTTATAGTTCTTTTTCTGATTTCATTCAATACAAATGATGATAGGCTATAATTGCGTATTTTAGTCGATTATTACACTCTAATTTATTGCACTTTAGTTGAGTTTGCGCTTTAATCGCTAGTGTTTTGCACTAATTGTGTGTTTTATGCCTTGTAGGAGTGATTCCGAGCTATATAGATGTTATGGAATGAATTTAAGTGATTTGAAGCTTTGAAGTTTGAGTAAAAGCTCAAGGAATTAAGCCGGGATCGTGTTCGGGGGTCAAATTTGATAGTTGAGAACAAACGAAGACTCGATGAGGCATATTGCGCACTGTCTAGTAAAATAGACATAACTTTTTGCTCAGAACTCCATTTGGGCTCCACAATATATGGTTGGAAAGCTAACTCAAAGGGCTACAACTTTCATGTTTTACGTTTTGCCAAATTCCAAATAGAACAGGGTGAAAAATCGCGATTACGGTAGGACCGCGGTAGGACCGCGGCAGAACATTACCAAAGATTCAGAGGACCATTCTGGCTGCGGTCCTGGCGTAACCGCGGTGGGACCGCGGCAGGAAGCGAAAATTTCAGGGACTAAAGTGCAAAATACGGGATTTTAAGCCCTAAACCCTATATTAAACAAGGAAGCCGGCCAAAAGACAAGAGGGGACATATTTTGGACACAAATTAGACCTAAGGAGGCAAAAGACACTACTTTAGGGTTAGACAACACCCTTGGAGGCAAGAGGCAAGGAGGATCATTGGGCATCAATCTTTAATCTTCTTCTTTGTTCTTTTACCTTTGAATATGAATTCGTTTGTGATTTTTGTTATTTTCATGAGTAGCTAACTTTTCTAATCTAAGGTTTTGGTGAAACCCGTTGGGGATGAATTGGTTGTTATAAGTAATATATATTTGAATTAGTTTAATCTCTATTTGTTCAACTATGTTTTGATTGTGGTTAATTGAAAGGATCCTCAATTAGCCGTTCCTATTTATTATGTATCTGCTTGAGAGAGAGTGCATATTTAGGTAGTTGTTTGAACAACATCACTCCCGGAGTATAGGCGAGAGTCATAACCGAGGGTTTAGAGGTTGGATTAGAGATAACGATACCTCGGGTGCAATCTAAGTGAACTGTAATGTGAATCTAGCTAGCGTAGCTTGAGAGAGTGCGTCTAGTAAATTATCATAATTGCTTGAGAGAGATTTATGATAGCTGGAGACTTCATGATTGATAGAGGCAACTAAGTCAACGCTATAAGAAACATACAACCAAGGAAATCAACAACGGGGGAAACCATTACCTTAGACCTTTATTCTAATTGTTTACGATTCAAGCATAGTTAGTTTTCAGCTGTTTATTTATTTTCAATCTTGTCTTCTTGGTGATATTAAACAGATACTGCTAAGCCTTAGTTCTCTGTGGGATTCGACTCCGGACTTTTAGACCGGATTATATTTGCAGCGACCGCTTATCCTTTTTAGGACTAGAGTTGGGCGTGATCAAATTTTGGCGCCGTTGCCGGGGAACTAACAGTGTAGTTGTAGCTGTATATATTGCTAGGGTTCAAGTTTGAACTTTTATTTTGTTTTGTTTTTTTCTTGGTATTTTTTTATAACTGTTGATTTGAGAAACATGACATCTTGGAATTATAGGAATTTAGGTGTAGATAATTCTACTATTGATCTCCATACATATTGTGAAGGAAACCACCCGTGGCAAAATTTTCAAAACGTTCCTAAGAGCGAGTTATGTGCACCAACTCAATCTTATTTGTGGAATGTGTGTGATATGTGTGGTGGTAAAAATGGTCACCTTCATGGTTGTGCTTATATTTCTTATTTTCCCCCAACCCCTTACTATGATGGTTCTACCTTTTCTTGTGAAGTTAATAGGAACGAAGAACCTGGGAATGCGGACCTGAAGGAGATCAAGGATATGCTAAAGTGCCTTCTAGAACAAAACAATGAGAAACAATTGCACATAGAAAGGCAATAGGCAACTATTCGCAAGTTGGAGGCTCAATTGAGTCAAGTGGTTGGAGCTTTTAATGCTCAACAAGCCAATATTGAGGATAGTAGCCAAGAAGAGCATGAATTTGAGGTGTTAATTGGGGAGGTCAGAGTAGAACATCAACAATCTAGCCAACTAGAATTTGAGGATGTCAATGTTGAAGAAGTAATACTAGAGTCAACCAAGGACGTTGAAGATACAAATTTAGTGGACTCTAGTGTGATTGGTGTTGAGGAGGTTAAAAATCTTGAAGTTCATGTATTTGAGCGCGTTGGGCCTCATTCCAAACACTTCTCTACATTATGTTCAGACGGTGAAATAGAAATTCACCCTTATGAGCATAAAAAGGAGTCCAAGGAAGAGGTAGATGAGCCTTATATTTTGGATTTCTCAAGGCCGTCTAGGCAAGGTGACACTCCTCGGTCGAGAGCCAACAAGTGCATAAGATTTTATCTAATTTTTGGCTCGCAAGAATTTGTAAGAGCATAATCATAAGCTTGAAGCAAAACTTGGGGTTCAATTCATAAGCTCGAGGTGGAGGCAAAAAAGTGATTCGCGTCGTGCCGCGACGTTAAATCAAGCGCTTGTTGGGAGGCAACCCAGCTTTATTACTTTCTTTTATTTTTTTTTAATTTTTTTTTAATTGTATTATTCTTGTAGTGTCAGTTTTTTATTTTCTAGGAGCGTGGAAAGCAAAGCAATTGGAAGGATGCAACATCAAATCAAATGGTTGGAACTAAGTGTGAGGTACCCGCACGAAGGACCAAGCCTGGGAGAAGTCTGAGTACCCCATGAACTGCTAGTGCTTCGGCCTTTGGCCTACCAGGGAGTTTCTCTTACCCTCTTATGGTTATGCTGTGCATTGGGGACAATGCACAACTTTAAGTGTGGGGTGATGAGATTGTCTGGGTGATTTTTCATGCTACTTTAGCTGTATTAGTTTAATTAAATAGTATTTTTTTTAAAAAGATTGGACTTTTTCCGACGATGGATCTATTAGACAATTTTCTTGAGGGATTTAAGTCTAAAGAAAAAAAAAGATTATATTTGTAGGTAGTGTAATAATTCCCCCTTGGTTTTTCTTTGGGCCACGGTTCTTTTCCAAGGGTTTTATTTGAACCAGGTGTAGTTAGTTTTTTTTAGGAATAAGAGCCATTGTGTTGTGTTTTAAATTGAAGCAATATTTCTTGACTTTGTTATGCCTTGAGAATAATGAGTACTTTGGTTGTGACGCTTAGGCTCAGTTTTTGACTCTTGTATAAGTACCTTAAATTGTATGATTTTAAATTTGCTTAACTGCTTTGACTAGAGTGTCTTGATGAATCCAATCCGGAGTG